AATTGATTTTAACAAACCGTGCTTATCAGCGCGACTTTAAGTCTACTCTTACGTTTAATAATTTATTTTTAGATTTCTTTGGTTGTTATTTTATAAAATAGGTATTAATTATTTTGGTAGTGTTTAAATATTTCTTAGTATTAGCTTAATTATAAATTAAACTTTTTTTTATTTAGCTGTAGTTTTAAATAGGTACCTAGGTATCAAATAGGTTATTTCATTCTATTAGACGTAGTTTAGGTTAGGTAGGATTTAAGGATTTATTTAGGATCCGTTTTGTTATTTAAGTAGGCATTTAGATTTTTTTAAGTGTATGGTAGCTATAGTTAGGACCTCTAACGTAGATTATTTTGTTAGGTAACTGAATGCCGTCGATTAAAAATAAAATACACAATGCCACCTAAAAACGATTATCTTTATCTCGAAATTCGAGAGAAGCTAAGAGAATGAGAAATGTACCTTCTCAAAAATCGGCAGAGGAAAGAGCACATCGGTTAAACTCTATGAGAGTTAGTGCCTCAACTTCTCGAGCCAATGAAAGCTCTCCAGAAAGAGAGATGCGATTAGCAGCTGACAGAGTGAGACGAGCTACATCACGGGCGTCTCAAAGTTCTTCTCAACGAGAGCTAAGGCTTACCATTGACCGAGAACAACATGTGTTATCCCGAGAAGCTGAAACTGCTTCACAACGAGAATTGTGGCTCACAGCTGACCGCAAACGCCATACACTATCTCGCGAGTCCGAAACCTACACTGAGAGGGAATTACGTCTCATAGCTGACCGCGAACGGCATACATTATCTCGCGAGTCCGAAACCTACACTGAGAGGGAATTACGTCTCACAGCTGATCGCGAACGGCATGTACTATTCCGTGAGTCCGAAACCTTCACTGAGAGGGAATTACGTCTCACAGCTGATCGCGAACGGCATGTACTATCCCGTGAGTCCGAAACCTACACTGAGAGGGAATTACGTCTCACAGCTGACCGCGATAGGCATACATTATCTCGCGAGTCCGAAACCTACACTGAGAGGGAAATCCACCTGTGACTCATCTGGATGTTCATCTTGAAGGCTGAATTATCTGAATTATAGGTGTCACACATTCGCGGTACCGGGGCGTATGATCCCATGTTAGTCCTGGATTGAGGAGTGTGTAACAGTTTTGTTATTGGACGACGAGGGATATTGTATGGTACATTTAGGGAGAAATATTGTAATAGTTCACAGCAGGCAGTCTGTCCGTTTACTATTTTATATAATACCAGCAGGTCGTGAATTTTTCTCCTACTATTCAGGGAAGGTATTTCAAAAAATGCTTATTGTTGTTCGTAGGGACACCTATGTGAAATTCCACTACATATGAAGGCAAGATGTCTTGTAAAAGCTCTCTGAATACTTTCTATTCTTTGGGAGTGCACAGCGTATGTTGGGTTCCATATTGTACATAATTGTGCATATTCCAGTTGGCTCCTTACTAGGGTGTTAAAAACTAAGATTTTAGTACTTATTTGAAAGCCTCTGGTATTACGTTTAAAAAAGGCCAGCATCTGCGCAGCTTTCTTTACAATCCTATTAATATGAGGAACGTGAGGTGAGTTTCATGTCCAACATAACACCTAGATCTCTTATTTCACCAACCTCTGTGAGCATAGTTCCTTTCCTAGCATCCTTCCTTAAAACTATATGAAGTAGTGTAAGGCTTCTTTTTCTTAGTAAACTTGATATAGAAACATTTTTGGGATTGAACATCATAAAGTTTTCCTTACACCATTCTTCCAGTCGGTCAAGATCATCTTGAAGAAGTAAAGAGTCAAATTTAGTTGATATCACTCTCGAGAGCTTCAAACAAATTGTCTGCAAACAAGGAAAGGTAGCTTGCCTTTAGTGTACTCGTGACATAATTTATAAAGAGCGAGAACAATATTGGTCCCAGATGGGAACCCTGAGGTACGCCAGATTCTGCGTAGTACGTTTGCGATTCATAACCCCCCACCGCCACCAACTGTGTTCTTTTCTCTAGGTATGAAGTAAGCCAAGCAAGTAATGACCCGTGAATTCCTGTGGCTTCAAGTTTGCTCAGTAACAGGGCATGGTTTACCTTATCAAAGGCGCTGGAAAAATCAGTGTAAATGACGTCCACTTGGCATCCTTTGTCAACCTCGCGCGAAATGTGTGAAATAAATGAGATGAGGTTCGTTTCGGTAGAACGGCCCTTTCGAAAACCGTGCTAAAAACACTTATATTGGCTTTAATGTGATGAGTTAGGAATGGACATACAGTCGCCTCAAACAATTTTGAAAAAGTAGATAGTATAGAGATGAGTCTGCAATTTGTTACTGACGATACATCACCCTTTTTATGTATTGGTATGACCCGAGCATTTTTCCATATTGTAGGGAATTTGCCTACTAATAAAGAATAATTAAAAATTAAAAATAAGGGATAAGCAAGATATGCAACACAATTCTTAATAAAAACTGGAGGAATGCCATGTGGTCCCGCAACCTTGTAAATATCGAAGTTTTTTATATGTTTTATAATGACCTCTCTAGAAACAAAGAGATGACTGAGAGCTCCGATGGTGTTTTGCTCAGTAAATGTCAAGAGTTTAAGAGTTATAGGTGTATTTATATAGACTGAGGAAAAGTGTCTTGCGAACAGGCTAGCAATTTCAGGCCCGGTCATTGCGCTATCGTCGTCAAGAAACATCTGGGCAGGTATTTTAGAGTTTCTCTTTTGCTTATCTTTTAAATATCGCCAAAATGCTTTTGGATTTTCACAGATATTGTATACCAAATTAGCTCTATATTCCTTGTAACATTTGTGCAATAGTTTATGACAGCGATTACGAACTATATCATACTCTAGCTTATCTCTGGAGTTCTTATATTTATGGTATCTCCGCCTTCGCTTGTCTTGCTCAGATCTCAGCTTTATTAACATCGGAGTGAACCATGAAGGGTGACGAGACTTATGTAGTTTGCGTTTTGGAACACATTCTTGAATAATGTTATACAATTTGTGGTAAAAAATTTGAACCTTTTCGTCAACGTCACCAAATTTAGAAAACGTTTCATCCCAGTCGATTAAGCTTAATCGAGTGGGATGAAACGTTTACGACGACTTAATAGCAGTAGGCGGCAAATCACTCAGTTAATATGGTTTGCCAACACCAACCTCAGTCGGAGAGGTTACCAATAGGGAATATTCTGCAGAGATTGGTTACAACTCAATGGAACTGCTGGCAACATTAGAAAACGGTGTCCCAATGATGACTGCAGATCAACGTTCAGTCTATGATCACGTGTGCGAGAGTGTTCAAAATAATTTGGGACCAATATGGTTTTTAGGTGCACCTGGAGGAACTGGGAAAACCTTTTTGACTAAATTAATATTAGCTTATGTTCGAAATCAGCGTAAAATTGCTCTTGCCGTGGCTTCATCAGGTATAGCTGCAACATTGCTACCTGGAGGTAAAACTGCTCACACTATGTTTAAAATACCAATTGATTTAGATCGCACGGAAAGTCCAATCTGTGGTATTTCAAGAAATAGCGACAAAGCTAAGGTATTACGTGAGTGTAATTTAATCATATGGGATGAATGTACGATGGCCCACCGAAAAGGAGTAGAAGCGGTAGACAGAACTTTAAGGGATATAAGACAAAATGATCGACCAATGGGCGGTATCACGGTTTTATTTTGTGGTGATTTCCGACAAACCTTACCGGTAACACCACGGGGAACCCGAGCTGATGAGGTTAGGGCTTGCCTAAAAAGTTCTTATTTGTGGCGTGATATACAATCGGTACATTTAACTATAAACATGCGAGTGAGAACTGGAGATAATCAATGATCGTCAATTTTCTGATAAATTATTAAAGATTGGGGAAGGTACCTATCCACAACTACACCAAGTAAAACTTATTCTGAGGCCTGAATTATGTTGTATAGTGCAATCCCAACCACATCATATATCGTCGGTTTATTATTATAATCCCAGTACCATTGTGTTATGCAATGACAATTAATAAGGCTCAAGAGCAGACTTTTCGTTTTGCTGGAGTAGATCTCGGTGTCAGTTGTTTCTCGCATGGTCAGTTGTACGTCGCTCTTTCCCGGGTTACCAGTTCTAGAAATCTTTATGTTCACGTGCCGGATGGGTCAACTTTCAACATAGTTTATCCGGAAGCTTTGCGTTGAAGTATTTTTGTTCTATAATTACTTAAGCCTCATGTGAACGTGATCTAAACAATATTACCAATATATTAACTTAATAACACACAAGGAGTTACACTCCATCCAAAGCCCAGCGACACTATTACATATATAGGAATGACGTCTTAGCAAAAGTTGTTTAGTCTGATGGGCATTTCCTGTTGACTTACAAAAATGAAAGATCTAGAACGTCTCGAATCGTCTCGCGAATCACGTTGATTTCCCGTCCCCGGGCTCTTAGAATTCAAAAAATTCAAGTTTCAGATCTTCGATTTTGTCGCTGGCATAAGCAACAGGATCCGCGTACGAAGTCGCGGGCAGAAGCTAGTCTTATAAAAAAACCGCCAACCTGTCTGCCAAGCGTGACGATTAAGGCTTCCCAACAATGAGAACAGCCCATGTCCAATTGTGGAGTTTTACTTTTATGATGTTTTTCATTTGAGATAAAGTGCGCAATCTGTCCCAAGGTGTGGCCAGAGGACTACCATTACTGCACGTCGTTCAGTTACGTTTAGTCTTCTTCCTCGTACGACGTCTGTGTAGAATCGTTAACCACCGGCTACTTTCACAGATTACAAACATAAATAGCAGGATAATTCTATTGCGTTTGTAGTCCAGTAGTCCTAAGTGCCGAGAACTGGAGACACTTACTGGTAACGAAGTATTGAACATTAAAAGGAAGTTGTAGGTTTTAATAGGACTCAGCATCTTACCATCAGGTGGACCGTGTACTCGTTTGTTACCTTTACATGTGCAAAAAAGTTACCATGTACTTACTGGATAACTCTCCTTGGAGTTACCGGTGTTCATCGAGTATATTTTTCGGAACACCTCCAACGCTTCAGTGTTTCGCCCCCTCGACATTAGGAACTTGGGACTCTCTGGCAGACAGGTGAACGCCAGCCCAGTGAGCAGGGGCACTAGCGCGGTCGCCAGGAGGAACAGGTTCCATGAGTGGATCACTGTTGGTTTGCATTTTTGTTAGAGACAACGAAAAATCTGTGAAGTATAGCTTCTTTATTTTTTGGACAATCGTACCCACTCGTCTCGTCTTTCGTCTTTCTTTCTGAGAATCGGTAAATAGTTAAAAATATGTTAATGAATAAAGAATACACCTCTAAAGCATTGTTTTGTGTTTATACATATATAAGAAACCGAAAACTTTTATTTAAAACCCAACTTTTCAACGACGATAACACTGTGTGACCATCTGTGTGACAAATATGTTTAAATTAGTACCAAGTACCAACTAGCGACATCTGGTGAGCGTAAGCTTATTAGTCCTCATTGACGGAGATATTGCGTAACACACATACCAAAAAAAACATACATTCAAATTGTAAACCTCCTACTTTTATTAGGTCGACTAAAAAGTGTTGCGTTAAACGCATAGAGCAACAACCAGCGGACTGGAGGGCATCAGCCATATGCAGGCATTCCCCTTAGTCAAAGTATAACTCCACGTGGTCCTAAACGTATAACAAAACTATTTGCAGCCGCACTGCTCACTAAACTAAATCTAGTTGTGCGGTTGAATCGACGTCCTACAAAAATGCCGAATTGTTCAGTTTTTGCTGTAAAAGAGATCCGTCTCGTCAAAATTACAAAAAGATGGCGATACCTTTCATCTTTATGTAGTTCTGATCACATTATTATTGCTATTTACTTGTTTTTCAAACTTAAATTAAACGGTAGTGTTGTTTCGGATTTGCTTAATAACACAGGCCGCTTGCCCTCATACAATATACAGATCAGTCGAGCCACGGTTTGCTCCGTGGGTCAAGCGACTGATCCGAGTCTGTCTCTGGAAAAAACGCTATGGCTACTCCACTCCGGTCTGTCGGTGCCATGTGTTGCTCTATGGTTAAACGATAACGCTCCTACACTGTACTGCTTACAGTTCAAAATTTAGCTGCGATCAAATTAGGTGGACAACAGTGTTATTTTGGATCTACTTACCGAATGTGTCATCGAAGAGGTAAAAGTCCCAGTCATTGGTCAGTATCGCCCAGGCAAGAAGGGGCAGCGTCGTGTTGGCAATGGTGAAGAACAGGCTAGTGAGAAGGATGACCCTGGCGCGAAGTTCTGTGCGGTGGAGCTCAGCTATGTAAGAGATCAGGACTGCGAAGGGTCCGTTGAATCTGTCAAGCAAATTATTTAATAAGTAAATGGGAAGTGTAAATGTGATTGTGGTAGGATTTGGGGTTAAGAGAAAGGAAGAAATAAAAACAAATTTATTCAGCACATCTAACTCATAGCTTTTAGACCCACGCTGCAGCTAAAAGAATAAAGGTGACAAGCGAGCACACAGTCCATCTGATGGTAAGTGGATGCTGTGGCTTATAGACATCTACATCTATCCTCAGCTAAGAATCAAAATGCAGATGCGTTATCACACCTAAAAACTAAGATGGAATGCCTTGTTTCCAGTAAAAAAGGTTTTCGGTTCTCTAAACTCACCATACAAAACACACCAGAATAAAACTGCTGTTTTTACCGGTATTTTGTGAAAGCATGGTCCTTCCCTGGTCTAGTCGATCAATTCATTGAACAACCATAATATAGCTGCAGCCTGGCTCCACCACGTATAAAGCGGATTAATTGGAAAAACAACCACCAATTCACTTACAAGAACCCACTGGCGAACCTAGTGACGAGCAGCATTGTGAAACTCTGACTCATCGCGGCTGCAATCTCCACAATACCAGAGCAGAAGAATCCCCATGCCAGGATCTGTCGCCTGCCCAGCGTGTCGGACAGGAAACCCCACAACATGGCTGATGAGATCATACCTAAGAATAGAACGATTAGACAAACTTGATATAATGAAATTCCTAACCACTCAAACGTCCGGGCGACCATAGTCTCCTAAAACTTTTTCCGGTTGAACGTTAGGGCGACTAGAGCGGCCTCGCTGACTTCTACACTTTAAACGACTTTTTATCTATGGAAAGTTACAAAAATCTTCATGAATGTTACACTAGACGGCTCTATATTAAAAATGCGTCTATGGGTTAGTAAAAAAGCCTATGCCTAGTAACATATACCATTGACATTAAAAACCGGCTAAGTGCGAATCGGACTCGCGCACCGAGGGTTCCGAACAAATCCGTAGATATATAAACTTAAAATTATTAAAAATATTTTTATTATATGATGTAACTAAAAATTTATGCTTTTCGCAATTTTTCCTTTATCTGCGTTATAATACGTTGCTTCGTGCCAAATTTAAAGATTCTGAGTTCACGGGATGTACCCTGTAGGTTTTGATTCCCTTGCGAATGTCGAAAATTTGCGGAATAAACGGCTGTATCTTATTATTGCGTTGGCTCAGAAGTTTAATTTTTTGACAGCTCAGGGTCGGCCACACACATACGGAATACCGTTTTGCCCGCAAAATTTCGAACGGAAAACTACCGTACGTGTGTGACGGGTCATATATTTTATATGAACTTGGTGCGTTCGGAATCTCGAAACGGAATATCGAAACGGAATCCCGAAACGGAATACCGTATGTATGTGGCCGGCCGTAGTATCGTTGTGATTTGAAACTCGACGAAACGAAAAAGCGACAAACATATACATCTATAGGATTTAGCCTGCGAGAGAATGAGATAGAATACAGCTCAGTGTTTCTGTTATGATGTATGTGATCTAAGAGTATAAGCCCGAAAACATACATACAGAATTCTGTTTCGGAATTACGAACGCAGCAAGTCCATATAAAATCTATGATCCATCACACACGCACGGTAGTTTTCCGTTCGATATTTTGCGGGCAAAATGGGATTTCGTATGTGTGTGGCCGACCCGTTCGGAATTTCGTTTCGGGATTCAGTTTCGATGTTTCGATTCGGGATTCTGAACGCAGCAAGTCCTTATAAAATCAAGGACCACAAGGAATTTTCTCCGATTCGTGATTCCGTATGACCGCCTGTACGTTCGGAATCCCGAAAAAAAAGGGGCTCCGAACGCAAGTCTTCGATAGATTTTGTATGAGTCGCAACACACATTCGTAAATTCCGTACAGAACGCGCTCAGGGTTCGTCGCACGTCCGAAGGGAGTAGGTAAGTTTATGTACGTTTTTACATTTAATCTTATATGTGTATAGCTTTTCGTAACCTTTCATTTTATTTTGTTTAATAATTTGTCGAAAGGGTGTACATCCGTATTTAAAAAAAATATCTCTGGATGGATAGATCTTTTTACATAATATTGACTATATTGAAAGCTTAGGATGATAAGAGGATGCACCCAGTAACAATGATACAGCAACAATGGAATCGCAATCAGAAAATTGTCGTAATTATTCGCTGGCAGAATGTCTAGACTCAATGGCTAACGTCTCTCAACTGAGCGTAAATATACGAAGGTGTGTGATGTGTTCACGGAATTCCAATTTGGGATTCCGAAACAGAATTACAAAACGGAATTCCGTATGTATGTGGCCGGCCTAATGGTATGGCCCCTCATACTTTGTGATTAGAAAATATTTAAGTAGTTACGATGATGAAATTTTAAACTTGGAGTCTGTATAATGTATAATGTAATATGTAGAATAAAATGTAATATAATTTTTAAACTTGGTAACAATATTGTAATAAATAAATACAACAATTATCCTACACCTGACTAGTTACACTGCATTGATCTCATACTTTCGAAGATTAGTTTTGTGAAGTTGTGCTTCTACCACGTGTGAACTGCACACATGTTTTTTTTATTCTCTACTTATCCGGGTTCTGAATAGTTTTTTTTGATAGTCAAGTTGGCTTTTTACAATCAAAATGAATTAAATCAACGTTAAGTCACGTGATGTTGTGACGTCTAGTTTTTTTTTAAAGTTAAAAGAGTCACACACAATTGGTCCACCTGATGTTAAGAGGATACCGCAGTCGAGGAACACTTGCAACCAACGTTAAACAAGCAAGACCTGAGGTCTGATGCCTTGCCACTTGCCACCAGTAATAACTAAAATTAAGATAGAGAAAATAAACTTAAAAATAATGTATACAAATAAATAAAATTGGAGGGTCTGTTTGTAATGTCAACAAAACAGCTTTTCACTAAATGCATATGCAATTGTGTTTTTGTCTGTATGTCTATCTGTTTGTTCCGGCTAATCTCTGAACCGATTTTGACGAGACTTTCACCGGTAGATAGCTGATGTTATAAGGAGTAACTTAGGCCACTTTGAATTAGGGTCCCGCGCAAAAAAAACCTAATTAACACGCGGGCGAAGTCGCGGGGAACAGTTAGATTTAAATATAAAAGAAAATTAGTAATTATGTATTGTGATGAAATAGGCCAACATTTGGGAATGATGTTCAATAACTATTTAAAAGGACAACTGATCAGTAAATATTGCATACCTGGAGCATCCTTTAGTCGTCATATTATAATGAATAAAGTTTTAGCTGGTAAGTTTTACCCTGATAGCTCATTTATAATTCCTGATGGGAGAAGAGGCAATGTGAACAAAAATCAGTTATTAAAATATATCGATTATATAAATACTTTAAATGTTCATAAAATTATCTTGTTTACATACAGGGGTGATCACAGGAAAATAAAATAAGATATGATTTAAATTTATTAATGAATAATCTGACATGTCATAATAATTTAAGTTTGACATTTAATTGTAATTAAATGTCAAATTTATAATTAATAATTACATTATATTAATAATATATATTAATAATTAATCTACAACGTGCGGTGAAGTTCCTAAAGGAACTCCATCCGCGGCTGGTCGTTGCTGCTGGTGATAAGAGGGCTGGCTGTTTTCTCGCTCAAAGACTAAGTATAGCCATTCAGCGGGGAAACGCAGTTAGCGTTCTTAGTACGATACCGCGGGGAGTAGGGCTGTATGATAATTAAGTTAGTTTACTAGTTATAGATTTTTTATTATAGTTTTTAATATTGTATATAATAAAATATTGTATATTATGTTATGTACATAAATATAAGATACATAAACATAGTACCTATGTATCAATATTTATTTTCTTTTTAAATAAATTGTAATAATTATAATAATAGAATTCATTTAATAGACAAATTTAATTAAGAGATACGTACTACTTATTCAAATATATTTTAAGACAGAAAGCAAATGTGCTATCTTATTATTTACATATTAACTCAGCCAAGGACTTGGCTACAAAGTTCTGCTTCTGTTGAACAATATAATGACTTGAAATGCAATTTGGAATCAGTTCCAAGTAATTTAAATTAGAAAATTAGACAATAGATGTAATATCTAGCAATTATAATAATTTAAATAATTTAGAACGTAGTTTATAAATCACTAATTGTATGACTCCACAAAATCTTTTACGTGGTAGAGCTATGCTGCAGCTATATTAGTAGTACAGAATACTAGCATAAAATAGCAGCTTAACACTGCTGTGTTTCGTATAGTGAATATAGAGAACTGGATACCCTTTTTACTGGAAACGAGGCATTCCACCTTAGTCCTCACGGGTGACAAGTGACAACGCATCTGCATTTTGATTCGTAATCAAGGATAGATGTAGATGTCTATTGGCCGTAGCAACCACTTACCATCAGGTGGACTGTGCGCTCGTTTGCCGCCCTTATCTAATAAAAAAATAATAATAAAAATCACTTACACCTGGTGCATCAAAATATACAAGGCATGATAAGCAAACAATTAGAAATTGATCTGTTCTTAAATAGCAACAAAATGCATATTTTATTTATTTCTGAACATTCTTACTTTAAAAGCTTATAACTAAATGTATAACTTTTTTTTTATAGGATCGGGTGACAAACGAGCACACAGTCCACCCGATGGTAAGTGGTTACTGTGACCCATAGACATCTACGTCTATCCTCAATAAAGACTCAAGATGCAGATGCGTTGTCACCCGTGAGGACTAAGATGGAAAGCCTCTTTGCCAGTAAAAATGGTCTCCGATTCTCTACACTCACCATACGAAACACAGCAGCGTTAAGCTGCTATTTTACGCTGGTTTTCTGTGAGAGCGTGGTCCTTCCCCGGTCGAGCCGACCCATTCGTGCTACAAGCATAATATAGCTGCAGCATGGCTCTACCACGCAAAAACTTCAGTAATCATCAGATGGTCAGTTCTTTCAATAGAGAAATAGATTTAAGAGTTGGCTCCTTAATGTTAGTTAGTAACTTATAATCATGTAAAGAACGTAAAGATATTGTGAGCCTCTCTGTTGAGCGAACTGTAGAAATGGCTTGCTGGCTCAGAACAATGACTTTGAGCACCTCATTGTTGTGAGCGTCTACAGACCCCTATGTTCTATATATAATACTTTAAAAAAATTATGGTGGAAGTTTTTGTTAAGGTTAATGAATGAATCTGTTGTAATATGTGAAGACTTTAATATCAATGTTATAACAAAACAATCTTAATCAAAACATAGGCCTCCACAATAGGAGGGATATTTTTTATGGTTGCCATGCTTGGTAAGCGTGTTCGCAATCGTAGTTTATTTCATTATTTTGAGTTGTTTTCGGGAAAATGCTGCCGCCCATCTCCTGTTTCAGTTTCCCTCTGACGCCTCTTACGACACCCACGGGACGATATGGGGTAGTGGATTCTCTTATGTCATTACATGACAAACAACTACGTACTATTACCTACTACTGTATACGATATTAGTATATTATTGTCGGTCTGTTTGCAAAGTGTACACATTACTAAGTTTGTATACGACCTGTTTCAATCAGACGTTATCTGAAGTCGTGATAATGTTTAAATGTATATTGACTAACGCAAATAACTTCTG